TTTGTTATATATATTTTTTAACTACACAAAAATCTTAAAAAATTGGAAAATATTCTAAACATTTTTGGTATTTTTTTGCTTTATAGTCTTACTTACGAAGACCTTTTTTGAGACAATGTGAGAAAATTACCAATAAATTTTAAATTTACTACTTAATTTAAGATAATTTCGAGTATGGACATCCGTATCTTCAAAAATCGACACGTTTATACACACAAAATTAAAAATTCTTCTTAAAATACCAGGAGTCACTTAATTGTAGTAAGCTTTCTCATTTATGATTAGTAAATATAATTTTTACTTAATCGCAGTATCAACTAACCATTACAATTTAATACAGACTTTTAAAGACTTAAAACTTTATAAATTCTTCTAATTAAAATTAAAAAAATAAATGAAAATAACACTTAGAAAAATTCATTATTCATGGAAAATTTCTTGTTACAATAGTGCCCATAATATATCTTATTCATAAAAGTAATTAAAAGTTTTTCTAATTAAATATTTTTATAGTTTTAGTGCATTTTTTATTTTACGATTCAAAGCAGATTTTCCATAACTGGAGGTCCTGTTTGATGATTTAAATACTCCAAGGATTTGTTCTTATAACTAGCATAAACTTTAAGCTCTACAAAAACGAAATTCTCGAAATTTCATAAAAAGTGGGGGTAACAGATGTAACCCCCCACCCAAAAAAAATCAATATCTTTCCCAAGATTTTCTAAAAAAGAAACGTTCTATCCATTTGTGAATAAGTTCTAAAATTTCCATTAAAATCTGAAAATGATGCGATTTTTATAAGAAATTCCAGTTCAGCGTGGTTTTCAATGCAAATCGATGTTCAAATTTCCTATAGCAATTCATGGTCACCCACTGAGTCAAGATTTAATCAAAATTTCGAAGGTTCTAATAGAGATTAAAAAGTATAATTTAATAAAAAAAAATCCTTTGGTATTTCCTCTTAATAATAAGATAAAGATTTTGACAATAAAACATTATCTTTCTTATTATTTGGTCATTTTTTCATCATGTATGCTCATTTTTTAGCTCATTCTTTGGAGCTACCTAATTTTAGCAAACAATAATCCCGATTATCAAACCTACTGATTTGTTGCTGTCAATCATTTTCATAACCTTTGACAATTGACGCCATAATGCATTATTACACGAATGGCGGTTTCAGTCATGACTTTATTGAAAGAAAAACGAAGGTCTTCATTATCCTAAATGGATAAATAACAAGCGAATTAACCGATGTAAATTTTAAATGATCAGTCAGTCATGTGCCATGCGTGATACACACTTAGGCGATCATGTATCTTTCAATACATGACTGACAAGGCAGATTTTTTCCGCAGTAGATTGCCATTTCTTTCTGCGGTAGACCAGTTGCCATCCAAAGCTATAGAACCCAGTCTGTCCTGCTATTTATCCATAGCTGCGGAAGAAGGGGGTTCATACCTTTCCCAAGGATAATAGCACGTACGTGAATATAATTGACTGGAATCCGAACTCGGCTCTCCGATTCCTCAATCCGAGCCACTATCCATTACTCAACCATGCCTTTTAAATGATACGTAATTTATAATAATAATAACGCTTTTCAGATATATAAGTTATCTCCCTTTAATTTGCAACGAAAACGAAGACGGAATGAAGATTCGAATTAACTGTTTTGGTGGAGCCAGTTTTCGGCCAAATGAAATTCGCTGTTATGAACCAGACCCCGTTTACTTACATGGATGAATCAAAGTTGCTTCTACATCATCATCATCATTATTATTATTATTATTATTATTATTATTATTATTATTATTTGTGGCATGCTCTTGCCAGAGAGTAATTTAAGTGCGTAATTGCCTGATGAGTCCAGGAATTTTATTGACATGATTTTCGGTACACCTCTTTATCATAGCCAATGACCCTATCACAACATGGATCATCATAGTTTTAATTTTCCACATATTTATTACTTCAATTTCCAGGTACTTATTTATTACTAGACTATGGGTCACTGACGGGTCAGTTTTATAAAACATTGAAGTTGTTTTCAACATACCATTGAAATGAAAGTTAATTTTATTAGGATTCACTTAAATATTTCAATTCGTTCGTGTCATCATTGGTCTTGTTTACAAGTCCATGTTTAACGTTTTACTGATTGTTTACAACATTTAATAGGAATAAAACTTCCAATCAAATTAGATTATCTTAAAAAAATTCTTTTAAATATGCCAAAAATATTTTTTGAATATTTAAAATATTGTTTGTTTAAAGAAAGCTGAAATATAATTAATTACACCACAAACAACTGGACGAAACAAAAAAAGCGGAATCTCTTTGTGTCTGTCTTTAACTTTAAAATATTTTAATTAAAAAATTGTTTGTTTGAAGAAAGTTAAAATAAAAATTCTATAAAAACAACTCGTAAATCATTATAAGCTGGATAGATGCACTACACAAGCACGCAAGTAATCACATACTTTTTATTATTATTATTATTATCATCATCATCATCATCATCATCATCATCATCATTATTATTATTATTATTATTATTATTATTATTATTATTATTATTATTTTCTTTGATTTCTGGCGTTTACACATTTTTTTCCGGGTCCCGCCCAGGGACCTAAGGTTAGAAATGGCATCATGACACTTTCCACTGACAAAAAAAAAAAAAAAATTATATAGATAAAGCCCTTCGTAAAGTGTGGGAAGTGTGGGCTGTACTTGTCAGAACAATTTTTTGTATCTCCTTGAGGCATGGACTTCCAGGTATCCCTTCAATTAGTTTACTGCAATCTTTTCCAACTAGTCCTAGGGCTTCAACTACAACAGGGATTGTTGATGTTCCCATATGCCACATTTTCGAGATTTCTATTTCAAGGTCCTTATATTTTGACAGCTTTTTGAATATCTTCAAAGATACATTGCAGTCAGCAGGGACTGCCATATCAATAAGAAGGCACCGTTTTTGTTTGAGGTCTTTAATAACAATATCTGGGCGGTTGGCTTTCATTGTTCTGTCAGGGTGTATTGCGTAGTCCCATAGAATTGTAATAGGTCCTATCTCCGTAACCGGATCTGGGTGGTGTTCATACCAGTTTCTTTCACTTTTCTTCCCGTAGAAGTTGCAGATTTTCCAGTGCAGATATTGGCCCACTCTATCATGCCGGGTTTTATATTCAGTGGGTGCCAATATCGCGCAACCTGATACAAGATGATCAATCGTTTCTGGATATTTATCACAGAATCTGCATTTTGGGATAACACAATATTTGCTTGATAATTCCTAGTTAGCAAGCATTGGTCCTGCGCAGCAAGGAAAAATCTTCAGTTTCAGCTTTCAAACCTGCACTACGTAGCCACTGATGGGTCTACATCAGCTTGTTTGGTACGGGCAGAGTATTGGCCATGAAGTGGTTTATCTTGCCATCGCTTCTGTGTCTGGTCTGTTGCATTCGTCTTTGCTGTCTTTTTTTAAGTATTTTGCAGTTTCAGCCGGTGTATTGTGCTGTAGTTGCATCTCTACGCCCATTTGAAACTCCATTTTGAATTTGTTGGCTTCTTTCATTACGGAGTAAAGACGCTTACTACTTTCTTCTTCTTATTCTTCTCTTTCTTCTTCTTATTCTTCTCATTCTTCTTCTTCTTCTTCTTCTTCTTCTTATTATTATTATTATTATTATTATTATTATTTCCTTTGATTTCTGTTGTATACACATTTCCTTCCTAGTCTCAACCAGAGACCTAAGGTCAGAAATGGTTTCATGACATCTTCCACTGATCATTTAAAAAAAAACAAAAACAAACCCAGATCACACACATTTTACATAGATAAAGCCCTTGGTAATGAATGAGCTGCATTTGTGAGTACAAATTTTTGTATTACTTTAAGGCATGGGCTACCTGGAATCCCTTCAGTGAGTCTGTCGGAACGTTTTCCAATCAATCCGAGGGCTCCAACTACAACTGGAATTATTGATGTCCTCATGGCCGAGAGTTTTTAGATTTACACTTCAAGATCCTTGTAGTTTTTCGAAAATCTTCAAAGATGCATTACATTCTTCTTCTTCTTCTTCTTCTTCTTCTTCTTCTTCTTCTTCTTATAATAATAATAATAATAATGCTTTGTATCTTAGGAGTCCCCTCCAAGTTTCAACAAGAGACTTCAAGAGACAACAAGATTTTTTATATCAGAAAATTCAAACAGATGATGTGGCATGCGATTTGAGAGAAAAATAATAAAATTATAGTCACTCAATAGAAAGTCATTGTATTATAATTATTGTTGTTTTTGTAAGTATAATACAGTGCGTTTACAAATATAGAATATCCACCAAATTGGTAAATTTATTTTGTAAGTGTTTGTATAAGTAAGTAAATAAACGGATCGAGACGCTGATTGTAAGATAAAGAATTTGTTGTGTTATTCATCTCATTTCTGATAAAGTTACGCTACATATTTTGATTCTGAGCTTATCTGGATTTGGGAACGTTGGAAGGAAGATGGCGAAAAGTAAAAACAATAAAACCATGCATAATGGAAAAATGAAGAATCATAGATTTTTAAAAAATGCAGTTTATGAAAGAATCAGATGTGCAGATGAAGAAAGAAAGAAAGAAAGAAAGAAAGAAAGAAAGAAAGAAAGAAAGAAAGAAATGATAAGGAAATTCCCAGAGGAAGAATGACCGAAAAGAAATTAAGAAAGTCATAAAGAAAGAGATAGAAAAAGAATGACCGGAAAGAAAGAAAGAAAGAAAGAAAGAAAGAAAGAAAGAAAGAAAGAAAGAAAGAAAGAAAGAAATGATAAGGAAATTCACAGAGGAAGAATGACCGAAAAGAAATTAAGAAAGTCATAAAGAAAGAGATAGAAAAAGAATGACGGAAAGAAAGAAAGAAAGAAAGAAAGAAAGAAAGAAAGAAAAGAAAGAAAGAAAGAAATGATAAGGAAATTCACAGAGGAAGAATGACCGAAAAGAAATTAAGAAAGTCATAAAGAAAGAGATAGAAAAAAGAATGAGAAAGAAAGAAAGAAAAAGAAAGAAAGAAAGAAAGAAAGAAAGAAAGAAAGAAATGATAAGGAAATTCCCAGAGGAAGAATGACCGAAAAGAAATTAAAAAAGTCATAAAGAAAGAGATAGAAAAAGAATGACCGGAAAGAAAGAAAAAAAAAAAAAGAAAGAAAGAAAGAAAGAAAGAAAGAAAAGAAATGATAAGGAAATTCACAGAGGAAGAATGACTGAAAAGAAATTAAGAAAGTCATAAAGAAAGAGATAGAAAAAGAATGACCGGGAAGAAAGAAAGAAAGAAAGAAAGAAAGAAAGAAAGAAAGAAAGAAAGAAAGAAAGAAATGATAAGGAAATTCACAGAGGAAGAATGACCGAAAAGAAATTAAGAAAGTCATAAAGAAAGAGATAGAAAAAGAATGACCGGAAAGAAAGAAAGAAAGAAAGAAAAAAGAAAGAAAGAAAGAAAGAAAGAAAGAAATGATAAGGAAATTCACAGAGGAAGAATGACCGAAAAGAAATTAAGAAAGTCATAAAGAAAGAGATAGAAAAAGAATGACCGGAAAGAAAGAAAGAAAGAAAGAAAGAAAGAAAGAAAGAAAGAAAGAAAGAAAGAAAGAAATGATAAGGAAATTCCCAGAGGAAGAATGACCGAAAAGAAATTAAGAAAGTCATAAAGAAAGAGATAGAAAAAGAATGACCGGAAAGAAAGAAAGAAAGAAAGAAAGAAAGAAAGAAAGAAAGAAAGAAATGATAAGGAAATTCACAGAGGAAGAATGACCGAAAAGAAATTAAGAAAGTCATAAAGAAAGAGATAGAAAAAGAATGACCGGAAAGAAAGAAAGAAAGAAAAAGAAAGAAAAGAAAGAAAGAAAGAAAGAAAGAAATGATAAGGAAATTCACAGAGGAAGAATGACCGAAAAGAAATTAAGAAAGTCATAAAGAAAGAGATAGAAAAGAATGACCGGAAAGAAAGAAAGAAAGAAAGAAAGAAAGAAAGAAAGAAAGAAAGAAAGAAATGATAAGGAAATTCACAGAGGAAGAATGACCGAAAAGAAATTAAGAAAGTCATAAAGAAAGAGATAGAAAAAGAATGACCGGAAAGAAAGAAAGAAAGAAAGAAAGAAAGAAAGAAAGAAAGAAATGATAAGGAAATTCACAGAGGAAGAATGACCGAAAAGAAATTAAGAAAGTCATAAAGAAAGAGATAGAAAAAGAATGATGGAAAGAAAGAAAGGAAAGAAAGAAAGAAAGAAAGAAAGAAAGAAATGATAAGGAAATTCACAGAGGAAGAATGACCGAAAAAGAAATTAAGAAAGTCATAAAGAAAGAGATAGAAAAGAATGACCGGGAAGAAAGAAAGAAAGAAAGAAAGAAAGAAAGAAAGAAAGAAAGAAGAAAAAGAAAGAAATGATAAGGAAATTCACAGAGGAAGAATGACCGAAAAGAAATTAAGAAAGTCATAAAGAAAGAGATAGAAAAAGAATGACCGGGAAGAAAGAAAGAAAGAAAGAAAGAAAGAAAGAAAGAAAGAAATGATAAGGAAATTCACAGAGGAAGAATGACCGAAAAGAAATTAAGAAAGTCATAAAGAAAGAGATAGAAAAAAGAATGAAAGAAAAGAAAGAAAGAAAGAAAGAAAGAAAGAAAGAAATGATAAGGAAATTCACAGAGGAAGAATGACCGAAAAGAAATTAAGAAAGTCATAAAGAAAGAGATAGAAAAAGAATGACCGGGAAGAAAGAAAGAAAGAAAGAAAGAAAGAAAGAAATGATAAGGAAATTCACAGAGGAAGAATGACCGAAAAGAAATTAAGAAAGTCATAAAGAAAGAGATAGAAAAAGAATGACCGGGAAGAAAGAAAGAAAGAAAGAAAAAAGAAAGAAAGAAATGATAAGGAAAGAAAATGACCGAAAAGAAAAAGAAAGAGATAGAAAAAGAATGACCGGGAAGAAAAGAAAGAAAGAAAGAAAGAAAGAAATGATAAGGAAATTCACAGAGGAAGAAAGAAAAGAAATTAAGGAAGTCATAAAGAAAGAGATAGAAAAGAATGACCGGGAAGAAAGAAAGAAAGAAAGAAAGAAAGAAAGAAAAGAAATGATAAGGAAATTCACAGAGGAAGAATGACCGAAAAGAAATTAAGAAAGTCATAAAGAAAGAGATAGAAAAAAGAATGACCAAGGAAGAAAGAAAGAAAGAAAGAAAGAAAAAAGAAAGAAAGAAATGATAAGGAAATTCACAGAGGAAGAATGACCGAAAAGAAATTAAGAAAGTCATAAAGAAAGAGATAGAAAAAAGAATGACCGGAAAGAAAGAAAGAAAGAAAGAAAGAAAGAAAGAAAGAAAGAAAGAAAGAAAGAAATGATAAGGAAATTCACAGAGGAAGAATGACCAAAAAGAAATTAAGAAAGTCATAAAGAAAAAGAGAGAAAAAGAATGACCGGGAAGAAAGAAAGAAAGAAAGAAAGAAAGAAAGAAAGAAAGAAAGAAAGAATAAATTAAGACTGTGATAATGAAATAGACAGAAAAAGAATGATTGAAAAGAAAGAAAGAAAGAAAGAAAGAAAGAAGAAAAAAGAAAGTAAGAAAGCGATAAAGGAATAAACAGAGAAAGAATGGGCAAAAAGAAGAAAGAAAGACAGCTAGGAAAACAACAAGAAATAACGAAATAAGGGAAGAAAAATGCATGGAGGAAAGTGTAAGAATAGAAGAAATAGCAGAAGAAAGAAGGAAAGAAAAATAAATAAATAATAAAAATAAAGTAAACAAAAAGAATTTTAAGTAAATATAAAAGTGTGAGAAAGAAGAAAAAGTTCAAGATTTTGTATATATGTGAAAATGATGGATGCTCTAGGGCACATATATGAGGAGAAGTGGGCTTGGAAAGTTTGACACTCACAGGATATATTGAAGGAGATAGGGACAAAGGAAAACAGCGAGTAACAAATCTGTGTAAACAGACGGTAGAACAGGAAGTGGAAGAGATGATGAAACGACAAACCTTTTTTTTTTAAAAACAATTTCACTCCAAGCAACATGATAAATCATTAAGACCTAAGGTGAGAGTGAAAGAGCGAGAAACTCTTATTGATGAGAGAAGACAATATAAGAACAAAAATTAAAGAGACAGAATATGAAAATTGACATTACATTTAAATTTTTAAGGATTTTAGTTGACAGGAGACCAAGAAGCCAGAAGAGTGTTCTACAGTCAAGAAGTGAGAGAGACAGCATACAGTTACATCTAGCAATTTCAAGAGTAAAATGATGAGATCTAACTGCCAATCTAGTACTGCACTTAAATTCGTGAAGTCGCGGTTTCAACGAGAGAAAGTTATCAGAATAATTATAACGGAAATATTTATGGAAAGTGATTGAGGCCGAAATGCCAAATCATGGACAGACAATATTGCAGATTCTTCTTTGGATTTTGTCAAGAATCTCAAGATACATAGCAGAAACATCCGACCGGATTTGACAGCAATATTGAAAGCATGAGCGAATGGTAGACTTATAAATGTGTATGAGAGATTCTGTCGCGAATTGTCCTGTACGACACAGGAAAGCAAATCTTCTAGCATGATCGCCCACATCCTGAAGAACATGGCACAAAAAAAGCAGAAAACTGAATAAATAAAAAAAAAAGCTCATGTTTTTTTTTTTAATTAATACTTGATTGCAAAACAAAGATCATGTCATTGAGAATGAGAAAGAAAAGCGTGTGTATACATTTAGATTTCAGTGCAAAGTCATCTCGATTTCGATGAAGAAACATGCGAAGACTGTAACTATTTCAAAAAGCACGTTATGGATTTCTCCATCTTGGAACGACTTAAGAATATTGATAGTGTGTGTGTGTGGGGGGGGGTTAATAAATAGTTCGATAAGAATACCTTGGGTGGAAATATTTTCAAAAGACATCAGAGGATGAGGGTGTCCTTTGTTTAAAAAAGAGTTTCTTTACATAACATAACGAAAGAAAAGGAAAATAAGAAAAAAGAAGATGGGGGGGAGGGACAGAAATAAAGAAGGTAGCAGAAGAGGAAAAAATCCAAAAGTTAAGACGATAGATAGACAGATATTTAGGTAGATAATGTTTAAGTTATATTACGTTTAAGTAGCTTTAATATATCTAATACAAATATCGCTTATATTGGATATTTTATAATCGCCTTACTTTTAAATTGGCTGGATTGGCCAAGATTTGTCACGGGGTCATCGATTTAAGGAAGATTGACGCCAAATTCCTAGGATGGCTTGCCCGTTACAAACTTCGTCTGATGCAATATGAATTGAAAAACCTACCGCCAATTTCTCATCTGTTATTGCTGAGTAAAGAAATCCTAAGGGACATTATAATGTAGCGACGGTTTTCGCAATGGTTATTATTTGGATGTGATGATAGTGTAGCGGATCGGGACGAGAAATCGGAGAGCCGAGTTCGAATTCCAGTTTAGTTTGATAGATTAACTTACGCGCAGATACCCTCGCGAAACGTATGAATAGATCACTTGTACTCCAGTTATGGGTTAAATAGTAGGACAGACTAAACTACCTAGTCGCGTTGTGCAACAAGTCTAGAAGAACAATTCTGTATTCAAAACTCTATGCTCCTGAGACCAAATCATGGATTGCCATTTGGCAAGGCATAACAGTCGGAAGTTACCTCTGCCAATAAAGACATCACAGCAGGATGTCGACAATAGCAGAATTTAACAGATTTGGCATTGAAGCGCAATTTTGTAATGCAAGGTTGATACTTCATCCTGGACAATGGATCAGAGATAATTATTCTGCGAGAACACTACTCTACTTGTACCTACTAATATATACTCAACGGAAAGGAAGCCTTTTTGACGGACGACTTGGTAGTATTAGTATAAAGAAATGTAGAGTTACTTAGTGGCATTAGTAAAAATAAAAAAAAAAACGTAAAATATAAGCCTTGGGAGGGCTAACTAGCATTGAACTGATTTTAATTCCACCTGCAATTATCTTTTATTAGGGTTTTGGAAATATCGCTAGTTTATTTTTCTTTTATTTCAGTTGTAACCCTTTACACTTTTAGACTCTACTGCAAAGTATAGATCATAACCTCACCACATTAGGCATTGTTGCTATGGTTTCCGTAGGAAGATTTTCTTTTACAAGGTGGAGTTGCTTTCTCGACACACAACCGGCTTTAAATTTAGAATTGTCCTTCTCCTATATCAGTTACCAATAGCCGCTATAAAGACCATACTGTCGTGCTATTAATCGCGTGGTATTAAGAAGAGATGTATTCATACCTTTGAAGGGGGTATTTGTGCAAAAGCGTATGTGATGGCGTCGGTGTCGACAACCACTATGGTATGCGCACGTCTAAATGACAATTAGTTAATTTAATTTTAATACTATCTAATAAATGTATTAATCATCAAAATATTTTTCTGACGTTCCAAATGCTTTCGAATTCAATCATTACATACCGTCTCTGATTCAGTAAATTTGTCAACAAAATTTGGACAAAGTGGACATCTTTAAATGTTTGACCATGTTTCTGCATAGATTGAAAGATATGATAATCCGATGGCGCCAAAATGTCATGCGAGAGAGAATTTCCAATCCTAACTCCATTATCATTGTTGGAGTCGCGTGGACAAACATTGTAGCGCAACAGACTGACTTTCTAGTTTCTCTGTCTTGAAAATGACTTTTTCTTTAAGTTGCAGAACTCAAATTTCGAAAGAGACGATAACAATCTACAGTAGGAGTTTTACTGAGCTTCAAAAATTCCTCATTCTATCCAATAAAATACCAAGCAA